CTTTGAATATTACATGTTAATAACTTGATTGGAATTATAACCTTGAATTGACAGTTTGATACTTTGAAAATTTTGAGCCAGCCCTACCCCCAAGGGCTGTAGGGTGGGGCTCAAAGGAGTCAGTGTGCTAAAATTTCTTCATTTTCCTTGTTAAGAATCAGAGGTGCTAGTTTCAAATCCTTTTTAGTCTGAAATCTGTATGCTAGATATTGAGTAAGGTGGTTTTATTGTTTTTGTCACTTTGAATAATATTTCTGTTCATGTTAAAAACAAAATCAACTCTCTGTATAAATATATCAGGTGACCGTTAAGGCCCATGGGCCTCTTGTTTATAGCATATCAATCCGCTGACCACTCTTAGAATGATGCAGATCTTATTTCAATGTAAGAAAGTATATAACGCTATATGGCATTGGACGCGCGTATTTTGTTCCGCCCCGCGGTACTCTTTGTTATTCATTTCGCCTAGAAGAGTTCTCAGAATAACTTTAAAATCTTTAATAACCCTAAAACTATCTATATTGTTTCCTGGATTGGAAAGTAGAAAAACCCAGCAGAAAACAAGCAAATGTGTTTATCCCCATCGATTGAAGGAAAAAGCGAAATAGTGTTACTTCTCCTTGTATGATCTGGCAGAGGCCTCACTCTCATCCATAAAAGAGATCTTTATGCATCATCTCCAGAAGGTGTGCAGTGCACTGTAATAAGGTCACTGTGACCTTCACTTCAAGGTCAAAAGTCATGCAAGTGCAATATTTTCAGAAAAATCCTGTCCAGACCATACTATTTTAACCATGGAGGACATCTTGATGTACCTGTATCAACCACTGAAGGTGTTCAGGGTACTGCATTGAGAGTCACTGTTACCTTTACCTCAAGTCAAAGGTCTAACAAGTGTTAAATTGCCAGTGAAGAGCAACATTTTCAGTGAAATCTTTATTATTTTAAATCATTGTAAATATTGTGATGGAACTTGTTTAACGCTTCAATGGTCTCCCCAGGCCGTTTTAGCGCTACGGTACCGTTACATATGAATGTTGAGCCGTTACGCATGCAACAGACCGTTACTCATTGAGAGGTATTTACGACTGGAACATCAAGTTCTCACAAATGGATAACCTCTTCTCCCCTTGCCAATTAGACTCGCCCTCATTAGACTAGCTTTTTATTGTTCCCTACGATCGACACCCTGATCATCAAACTCTGCCCTGCGTGAAAATTTACCTGTGGGGATGTGAACTAGCCTACCTGTCCTAGAGGTGTGAAACGTGAACAATAGACCACAATTACCAGTTTGTAACGGTCTGATTATAATTAATGATATCTGTTAATTACCAAGGCTTCAATCTACGTTCTGATTTTCATAGGTGACAGACAATGACACCGAAATAAGAAATACAAATACAGAAGTACAGACAGTGAGACAGGAACGTTGTACTCAGAAACGTCTGCTGACCTACCTTGCCTGCATTGTTTTTGGCCATCAAATTTTAATGCTTGAATAAGTTAGCTATGTGAGAAGCCTTTATTAACAAATGACTGTTGATACAACTTTCAGAGAACATGAAATATTTTTGCTTCATCAAGATAGATGGTACAAGTGAGCAGACTGCATGTGGTGGCCATGTTGTTTTAAAAACTTGATTAATCTTGCGTAATCCGTGATGCAATAGCGTTTGAAACATGGATGAGGGGCGTTAATCATTTTTGCGCCAACATTATAAATAGTACATGGTTTTCACAGTTTGACAGTAGCAATATTATAAGATTATTTTTACTGGATAATTACAATAATTCATTTTGATAACTACAGTATAACTGTAAGTTTATATTCAGAACAGCATTTTTGATTTTTTGTTTGCTGAATGATAACAGGTCTGTAAATTTCATAACTAAGGGATTTAAAAAAATCTAAAAAAAAATCATTGATTTTAAAATTAATTAAATATTTGTCCAAATAAATACCTTTGGTTGGAAATGCTATTATAATTTATTTATTCTCGGGACATTTATTCATTTATTTCTATGATGATGTTCTTGGGGGAAGAAATGCTTAGGTGTTTGCTAAAATTATCCATTTGGTTGAGTCAGACTATTTTATTTGTAGTTAAAAAAATAATGATAAAGAAAAAGGATAGGGCAAGAATAAATAATGATAAAGAAAAAGAATAGGGCAAGAAAATGAGCAATAATATAATGCAATGTCAGGATGCTAAGTAATGCTATTTCAACTATAACTCTTGTTTTGAGTTTCCTTTCTCAAAGTGGTGTCGCGCACGATATATGGATTGCGTCGCGGTAATTGTTGACAGCGCCGCGCTGTGATGGAAGGGTTGAAAAATACCACAGCGCATCAAAAAAATTCTGGGAAGAACACTGCTGGCTTGCATCACCCACAGAGGGTCTGCCGTAGTAAACTATTTAGGTCACAAGTTAACGTCAAGAGTTGTTGCAAGCTACAATAGTCTTATGAGTGTTCTAGCAAAAATCTTCAAAATAATTATATGGGTTTCACGATGCCTAACAAATTAGTTTTTGGCATAATGCAGATGAAGTGTTTATTTGATCAGTATTCTCAATAGATTACTCTGTGGTTACCTGGTTTTCTGCCATTTTTTGTGACTTTCATAATACATTACATGTCTCCCACCCTATTAAAGACTGAACATTGATGTATTTCCACTTACCTGACCCTTCCCAAATTTTTGTGATTGCCTTGCAGTTTTGGTATTATGAAGGAAGTACTATTGCTATTTTAAAGAAGGGGTGGGGGCATATTGTGTTCTCTTGTCTGTCCTATTTTTGTCGCACTTCATTGTCATGACTGCTGAATTTATTTCTTTACAAACTTTTTAACAAATTTTATTCAAAGGTCGGGTATGAGAATCCTTGTCATGAGTTAGTATTTCACGGTCCCACATCCTTGATACTCCAGGGGTAACGTTCATTTACCTTCTCTGCACCCCTGGAATATATCATAGCTAAATTGAAGGCACACCACTTAGATATTTGATTGGTATCGAGTAAAATAACCTGACTTATCGCTAGGCTGATACCTGTCCTTTGAAGTCAGAGGAGTGACATCTCACTTCGAAGCCATACTTTTTTTTTTAATAATTAATATGTAAAGGTCCTATTAATGTACAATAAATGATCAAATTAGTCTTCTTGTATCATCCACAAGGTGGTAGACATCGAGCCTTTGAATTTTTTCGTGACATATTCCAGGGTTGCAGAGAGTGTAAACCCCAGAAGTATCAAGGATGAGGGTCCCAAGGCCAAAGTCACTGTTGATATTTATATATTAGCCACAGGGCCATGGGGGTATTCATGTTTTTCAGATGTTTTCTGATAGGTTTATTGTAGCTATATTTTCTTTGTAGCCACATTGATATTACTTATGTGTAGTGATAATTTCAGTTGTATTAAGCTTAGAGTTCTTAAACTTAATACATGTGTACCGTATGGATACATGAAATTTTGTTGTGATTTAATTCTTAAAGTCAAGGGAGATAACTATAACAGGTCAGGAATCTTCGATTCATCACAGTTGTTCTTTCTCTTGCAATATGGATCTAATGCCTACATTTGTGATTTCAGGTGTGAAGGCAACTCAAGGATTTTGGTCCCCTGAACACGTTGCCCAATTTGAGGATATTGCTTTAGACCAGAACTTCACGGCTGTGTACCAGAACTACTCTGGGGAGGCAGAAGATCTGTACACTGTGAGGTTGCAGAACCAGGCAGGTGAGGATATTAACCATAAGTATGGCACCAGTACCAACTCTATATGTGCTGAACAGACTGACCGCAAGGTGGCCATGGGTAAAGGAATGGACATGAAAATAGAGGTACAGGATAATGAGTGGATTGACCATGCAGGTAGTGACTCCTGCAACAAGCCAAGTGAGGGAAATAGATTTGGAGGCAGGTCTGGAGATCGAGGTGGAAGCAGAGGATTTGGTGGTGGGGATAGATCAGGAGGAAGTGGATTTGGAGGAGGGGATCGATCGGGAGGATTTGGCAGTGGCAACAGGTCTGGAGGAGGTAACCAGAATCAGAATGCTGAAGAACGAGGATTTGGTGGTCGATCTAGAGACAACAATAGAGGTGGAGGTTTCGGAGGACAAAATCGTGACCAAGAGAGAGGTGGCGGAGGATTGGGGGGCAAATCGAATGACCGAGGAGGAGGTGGTGGATTTGGAGGACAAAATCGTGATCAAGAAAGAAGTGGCGGATTTGGGGGCAGATCCAATGACCGAGGAGGTGGCAGTGAATTTGGAGGACAGAACCGTGATCAGGAGAGAGGTAGTGGTGGATTTGGGGGCAGATCCAATGACCGAGGAGGTGGCAGTGGATTTGGAGGACAGAACCGTGACCAGGAGAGAGGTAGTGGTGGATTTGGGGGCAGATCAAATGACCGAGGAGGAGGTGGTGGATTTTGGAGCAGATCAAATGACCGAGGAGGAGGTGGTGGATTTGGAGGTAGATCCAATGACCGAGGTGGTGGCAGTGGATCTGGAGGACAGAACCGTGACCAGGAGAGAGGTAGTGGTGGATTTGGAGGTAGATCAAATGACCGAGGAGGTGGCAGTGGATTTGGAGGTAGATCCAATGACCGAGGTGGTGGCAGTGGATTTGGAGGACAGAACCGTGACCAGGAGAGAGGTAGTGGTGGATTTGGGGGCAGATCAAATGACCGAGGAGGAGGTGGTGGATTCAGAGGACAGAATCAAGATCGTGGAGGTGGTGATGGTGGTGGTTTTGGAGGTAAGAGAGATGGAGGATCAGGTCAAAAAGGGTTCTTGAGTGGGGGATTTGGTCAATCCCAGCAAGCTGCTAATGATGACTGGGATCCTGACGTAACAACTGTGGTCCCAGAGAAACCAGCTACAACAGCCCCCAGGAGTAGGTTTAGAGGAACTAGTCAAACAATAAACACGCCTCCATCATCTTCGTCGTCAGATCAACAGTCCGATGCATGGTCGCGGAGAGTTGGTGGTGTCACTTTCATTTCTCAGAAACTTATCGCAGATACGTCATGCCCTGTGTACGTAGTTTATTCCAATAGTCCAGGGGAATTTTGGTGCCAGATTGTAGACAAAGCCAACGAATTGCAAACGATGATGGACCAGATGAATGAACATTACAATTCTTTATCTCCAACCAAGTCCGCTATAGGTCAGCCAGAAATAGGAATGCCATGTGTTGCCAAATTTTCTGAGGATGAACTGTGGTACAGGGCGGAAATTTCAAGCTATGATGACAAGACTGTAGAAGTTCAGTTCATAGACTATGGCAACTCGGAATCTGTGGACTTGAAAAGTGTAAAACATATTCAGAAAGAGTTCACTGTCCTACCTCTTCAAGCCATTCGCTGTTGTTTGAGCGGTGTGAAATGCTCAGAGTCGAAATGGTCAGAAAAAGCCACAGAAGCCTTTGAAACACTAACAGCAGACAAAGAGTTGGTCTGTGCCGTTAAAAGTCAAGTTGGAGGTTCCTTCCTTGTCAATTTAGAAGATGCAACTGGTGAAATAGATGTTGCACTGAAACTTCATGAGGCTGGATACTGTACATTGGCACCAGCTGGTTCAGGAAAACCACAGAAGGTGGTAGTGAAGGTACCTTTCCCAGCTATTCCAATCAATGTCGGTTCCAAAATGGACGTTTTTGTTTCTTGGATTGAAGATCCATCCATTTTCTGGATACAACCAGTGGAAAACCAGACCATTTTGGAGGAGTTGGCAGAAAAAGTGCAGGAGGAATACACATCAGGACCATCTGCAGACAAGAAAGTGTCAAAGATTTCTCAGGGCATGGCTGTTGTTGCTAAGTTTTCAGAAGATGAAGCATGGTACCGTGCTGTGGTGGAAACGGAAGGAACGACGGCTGGTGTAAGATTTATCGACTATGGCAACACCGACTCAGTTGCTATAGACTCTTTGAGATTACCGTCTGAAGCCCTAATGGAGGTTCCTGCCCAAGCCATTTACTGTAGTCTGGCAGATGTCAAGCCCCTTCAGCCTGGAAATTGGAATGTGGACGCTAAAGACATCATGGAAAGTATGGTAAAGGAGGAAGTGAGCTGTACGTTCAAAGAGACCATGCCAAATGGATTCATGGTGGATATTGTTTCTGATGGAATAGCTATCGCTGAGGAGCTAGTCAGAGCCGCTGTTGTTAAAAAGGTGTCCGAGTCATCACCAAGGAAACCAGAATCACCTCCAAAAGATGTACGGGTATCCCCTGGCAGATCAGAAGGCCCAGTCAGTCAAGGAAGTGTCAAACAGAGACTAAATTTTGCCAGATGTGTGACACTGGACAAAGGGTCAGTTGAGTCTGCTTATGTATCTCAGGTATATTCTCTTTCAAAGTTTTATATTCAACTTGCCAAACTTGCTGCTGAACTGGAAGCCTTGATGGAAAGGCTGGAAAAGGCATGTGGACAGAAGTCTCGTCCGTCAATGATTGTACCAGGTATGGCTTGTGCTGCCAAATTCAGTGGGGACGAGATGTGGTATAGAGCTACTGTGACTGAAGTCAACACAGATGATGCTGACGTACTATTCATCGACTATGGAAATTCTGAAGTTATATCCTTTGACAACATCTGTGAAATCTCTCATGATTGCCTCTCTCTGCCACCACAGGCTATACTGTGTAGTCTTAAGAACAGTAATGAATTGACAGACAATTGTGCTGTTACCAAGTTCACAGACATGACCATGGATAAGGAAGTACAAGTTACGGTCTTCACTGGCTGCACTGACAGGCCTGCTGTTGTGGATGTCTCGGTTGACAACACAGCATCATTGTCAGAGCTGCTTACCTCCAACTCTAGTGAATCGTTTGGTACAGTAGATCTCACTTTACCTGTGCAAAGCTTTCCTACAGAACTTAGCACCAAAGTGTTCACTAGCTATGTACATTCTCCGTCCATGATATTCTTACAGCTTGCCAGTCAGGAAACTAAATTAGATGAGTTAAGTACAAAGTTGCAAACGGCATATTCAGCAAGTGCCTGTGATATTTCATTGCAAGAATTAAAGAAAGACTGTCTTTGCTGTACAAAGTATGTCGAGGACAGTTTATGGTACAGAGCCCAGGTGGAGGAAGTCTGTGGTGACAAATGTCATGTGCTGTTTGTAGACTATGGTAACTCAGAGGAAGTTGAAACCAATTCTCTGAAAGTTCTGACTCCTGAATTTACAACACAGCCAGCTTTGGGATTCAGGTGTGCACTGGACGGCCTTGTACCGATCAAAGGGAAGTGGTCCGAGGAAGCCATTGCTCACCTGGAGAGCTTGGTGATGGACCAGGAACTTAATTGCAAATTTGTGTCAGATACAATTGTCTGCCTTCAAAATGAGGACGGGGATGTTGGTGAAGATTTGATAGCCCAAGGGCATGCTAAATTGGTAAAGGCAGAAGAGATTAAATTCTCGCAGCAGGAGAAACCAGAAGGCCAGGTATCGACTTTCGTCTCTCATGTAGAGGATGTGTTCTATCTGCAATTAGGCGCTGATGAAGATAGGTTAGCAGAACTTTCAGAAAACCTTCAGACACTGTGTAAAAGACTCTGTACCCCACAGTCTGATCAGGTCACAGAAGGGTTACACTGTTGTGCCAAGTTTTCTGAGGATCAAGCCTGGTACCGGGCGACTGTTTCCAAGGTAACCGGACAGGAAGTTGCTGTACGCTTTGTTGACTTTGGCAACTGTGATGTAGTGACGTGTGATCAGCTGAAACTTTTAAGTGAAGATCTACTTACACCAGGATTGCTTGCCTATCCAGCTGTGCTGAAGGTAGTGGGTAGGATGACTGAGGAACAGCAGGCACTCTTCTCACGTCTGACAGAGGACCAGGAGCTGATCACCGACTTCTTGGAGAAGACGGACGATGGCCTGAACCAGGTGACCCTTATGACCAGTGAGGGTAAAGATATTGGTCAGGAGTTCTTGACAGATGAAGCTGCAGGTAGGATGTTGTTTAAACATATACTCGAATGTGCTGTATTATAATACTAAATATGAATTAATAATGCCTCATGCTTGGTGTGGTGTGGTGTTATTTGATAGGGAGGCTACATTCTCCATGTGAAAGACATTTGTGTGAAGAAATGAATGTGAAATGAGGTAAAGAATACCTGCAATGAAATGTAAAAAATTCAGCAAATCAATAACATGAAGATAAATCGTGATAATTTTGTCCTGATAATTTTTTTTTAACAAGATTATCGGTCTTAAAACCACCAAAAAGAAAAAAATATTACAAGAATGGCCCCTTAAATTTGAAAAATACTTCAAAAGCGGTGACATGTAGAATGGGTCTCCTTGTATCAATACTGGTTTGTGTGTGTGTTCATATATTTATATTACCATACTCTCTGTGGCTCTCTTTCTATCTATATACTTACCATTTCTCATTTTTTAGCTCACCTGGCCCGAAGGGCCAAGTGAGCTTATGCGATGGTGCAGCGTCCGTCGTCCGTCGTTCGGTGTCAATATTTTACTTTAAACAACTTCTTCTTAATAACCAAAAGGCCTAGGGTGATGATATTTGGCCAGAAGCAAACCAGGATGAAGGGCTACGAAGTTTGTTCAAATAAATGACCTTCACCTATTTTCAAGGTCACAGGGATCAAAAATGTTAAAAACTTTAAACAACTTCTTCTGAATAACCAAAATGCCCAGAGTGATGATTTTTGGCTAGTAGCATGCTGGGATAAAGGGCTACCAAGTTTGTTCAAATGAATGACCTTCGTCCATTTTCAAGGTCACAGGGGTCAATTGTCTTAAAAAATCTTTATACAACTTCTTCTGAATTACTTAGAGGGCTAGGCTAATGATATTTGGCCAGTAACATGTTAGAATGAAGGGCTACCAAGTTTGATCAAATGAATGACCTTCACTTATATTCAAGGTCACAGGGGTCAAATGTGTTAAAAACCTTTAAACAACTTCTTCTCAATAACCAAAAGGCCTAGGATGATGCTATTTGGCTAGTAGCATGCTGTGATAAAGGGCTACCAAGTTTGTTCGAATGAATGACCTTGACTTATATTCAAGGTCACAGGGGTCAAATATGTTAAAAACCTTTAAACAACTTCTTCTGAATAACTAAGAGGCATAGGGTTACAATATTTGGCCAGTAGCATGCTGTGATTAAGGGCTACCAAGTTTGTTCAAATGAATGACCTTCGTCCATTATCAAGGTTACAGGGGTCAATTGTCTTAACAAATCTTTTAAACAACTTCTTCTGAATAACTAAGAAGCCTAGGATAATGATATTTGGCCAGTAACATGCCAGGATGAAGGGCTACCAAGTGTGTTCAAATGAATGACCTTTACTTATTTTCAAGGTCACAGGGGTCAAATATGTTTAAAACCTTTAAACAACTTCTTCTCAATAACCAAAAGGCCTAGGATGATGCTATTTGGCCAGCAGCATGCTTGGACAAAGGGCAACCAAGTTTATTCAAATGAATGATCTTAAATTGTATTCAAGGTCACTGGGGTCAAATATGTTTAAAACTTTTATACACCTTCTTCTGAATAACCAAGAGGCCTAGGATAATGATATTTGGCCAGTAGCATGCTGGGATAAAGGGATATCAAGTTTGTTCAAATGAATGACCTTTACATATATTCAAGGTCACAGGGGTCAAATATGTTTAAAACCTTTAAACGACTTCTAAATTAGCCAAAGGCCAAGGGTGATGATATTTGGTCATTAACAGGCTGGGATGAAGGGCTACCAATTTTGTCAAAGTGTATGACCTTCGCCAATATTCAAAATCACAGTGGTTAATATGTTTAAATCTTAAAATGACTTGTTCTGTATAACCAATAGGTCCAGGGTTATGATATTTTGCCAAAAGCATGCTGGGTTGGAAGACTTTAAACTCTGTTCAACCTAATGTCCTTGTTCGACATTCAAGGTCACAGGCGTGATATGTTAAATCTTTTAATATGTTCTTATGAATCAAACACTGATATTCTGCCTGTAGCTGTATTTTAGTCCACTTTTAAGAATACAAGTGTGAGATTAATACCCAGTGAGCAATTCAGGCCCATTGGGCCTCTTGTTTTGAATTTAGTTTATGTTTCATTCTCATTCCTGTTACTTGTACATACCTCTCAGGCTTGGGTCAGAAAGCTATGTCACTCTGCTAACATTCTAGTAGCAGTATCTGCAAACTTTATGCTACGTATGTAGTGCTTACATTTTGGGGAGGCTTCCTTCTATATTCACGACCTGAAAAATGAGTGAAATATAAACTCCTTAAAGTGTGCGTCTCTTCTGTTAATAGTTATTTGAGGCTTTCGACTATTAACAGTATTGTGCAAAATTTAAAAACGTATAAACAAAGCACCAGGAAAACGAAAGATTCAAAACTCTGATATAGGACAAAATTTAGGTATTTTTCAGTGCTTAGGTATTTAGTATTTAAGCAATATTCTTGTTTGACATGATGAAACAGTATTTCTAACCCAGGCAAGAAGTTAATAAATTTTGGTAAAAGTGACCTGAATTCCTGCATATGCTGATCTTCAGAAGATCATTATATAATAAAGCAAGTTTTACTGCACCAAGTGAAATTTATCTTGTTATATTATTTCCAAAGTAAATTTAAATTGGTGAACTAGTGTTTGGGAATCAATCATTCTTGTGTATAACAAAACATGGCCTTGTCCATTGTTTATCTTAGCTGCTGTAGACGAGGCTCTACGAGGGGACGAGTCCTTCATAACCTTGGATAAAACTGGTTTCGTCGAGTCCATTCTTGAGGATACAAATATCTCGTCATCGCAAGTGGAACGTGGTCAGGATGAAACCAAGCCTGAAGCTGACTCCTCAGAATGTGATATTCAAGACCAAGGTAAATGTGCTCCAGATTTTACTGCAGATTTTTGTAATTCAGGGGAAGTTACAGTTGGTGGTGTCCAGCTAGTAAAATTGGGAACCGAGTCTTCTGACTGTGACAAAACAGCAGACATGTTTGAGGAAGAAACTGCATGTTGCATGCAGAACTCATTCGAACAAGAAAACAAGTGTTTAGAAAGTATTGCTATGGAACATGCTAATGAAGCTCCTGACATCGAAGGACAATTGGAGATGATGGTAGATACTCAAGTTAAATCCTCCATGAAACTTGTCACATCAGATGATTCGGAATTGTCCGAACCAGATTCTAACCAGAATTTCTTTATCACTTCTCAATCAGTGAAGAACAATCAAGATGTATTTACAGATAGTGAAAAGGCAGATTGCTTTATTTCAGGAGATATTGAGTGTTTGGAAGTGGTAGTCCAGTGTCGAGAGGAGGTTGTGAAACCTACTGAAGAAAGTGAACCCTCAGATGAGCTATGTTTCCAGAAAAATAATGTAGAATCTTGTGATGAATCAACACAATTAATAAAAGAGACAGTGCTATCTGATAAGCCTGTGAAGTCTGTGATAGAGATGGAAAGATCTGATGTACAGGCAGAGACAATAGTGGCTGAAATAACAGTTGAACCAGTGGAGATAGCAATAGAGGCAGAAAGATCTGATGTACAGGCAGAGACAATAGTGGCTGAAATAACAGTTGAACCAGTGGAGATAGCAATGGAGGCAAAAAGATCTGATGTACAGGCAGAGACAATAGTGGCTGAAATAACAGTTGAACCAGTGGAGATGGCAATAGAGGCAGAAAGATCTGATGTACAGGCAGAGACAATAGTAGCTGAAATAACAGTTGAACCAGTGGAGATGGCAATGGAGGCAGAAATGTTTCATGAGCTGGATGACTTAGTGATTGAGGCAAAAATATCTGATGAAGTTGCAGAGGTTTCCATAAAGACAGAAATATCTGATGATACAGCAGAGGCAGAAATAGAGACAGAAACATCTGATGGACCTGCAGAGACATTGATAAAGTCAGAAGCGTCTTATGAACCAATGGAAATAGCTATAGAGGCAGAAACATCTGATGGACCTGCAAAAATATTGATAGAGTCAAAAACATCTGATGAACCATTGGAAACAGCTTTAGGGGCAGAAATATCTGGTAAGCCTAAAGAGGCATTAATGGAGTCCGAAACATTCGATGAATTAGTGGAAACAGCTATAGAGGCAGAAACATCTGATGAGTCTGTGGAAACTGTGTTAGAAATAGAAATATCTGTTGTCACAGCAGAGACAGAAGTAGAGACAGAAACGTCTGATGTCACAGCAGAGACAGAAATAGAGGCATAAATATCTGATAGACCTGAAGAGGCATTGATAGAGACAGAAGCGTCTTATGAAGCAGTGGAGGCAGAGACAATAGTGGCTGAAATAACAGTTGAACCAGTGGAGATGGCAATGGAGGCAGAAATGTTTCATGAGCTGGATGACTTAGTGATTGAGGCAAAAATATCTGATGAAGTTGCAGAGGTTTCCATAAAGACAGAAATATCTGATGATACAGCAGAGGCAGAAATAGAGACAGAAACATCTGTTGTCACAGCAGATACAGAAATAGAGGCAGAAATATCTGGTGTCACAGCAGAGACAGAAGTAGAGGCAGAAACATCTGATGAGTCAGTGGAAACTGTGATAGAAAATGGCAATGGAGGCAGAAATGTTTCATGAGCTGGATGACTTAGTGATTGAGGCAAAAATATCTGATGAAGTTGCAGAGGTTTCCATAAAGACAGAAATATCTGATGATACAGCAGAGGCAGAAATAGAGACAGAAACATCTGTTGTCACAGCAGATACAGAAATAGAGGCAGAAATATAGTGGAGATAGCAATGGAGGCAAAAAGATCTGATGTACAGGCAGAGACAATAGTGGCTGAAATAACAGTTGAACCAGTGGAGATAGCAATAGAGGCAGAAAGATCTGATGTACAGGCAGAGACAATAGTAGCTGAAATAACAGTTGAACCAGTGGAGATGGCAATGGAGGCAGAAATGTTTCATGAGCTGGATGACTTAGTGATTGAGGCAAAAATATCTGATGAAGTTGCAGAGGTTTCCATAAAGACAGAAATATCTGATGATACAGCAGAGGCAGAAATAGAGACAGAAACATCTGATGTCCCAGCAGAGACAGAAGTAGAGGCAGAAACAGCTGTTGTCACAGCAGAGACAGGAGTAGAGACAGAAACATCTGTTGTCACAGCAGATACAGAAATAGAGGCAGAAATATCTGATAGACCTGAAGAGGCATTGATAGAGACAGAAGCGTCTTATGAAGCAGTGGAGGCAGAGACAATAGTGGCTGAAATAACAGTTGAACCAGTGGAGATGGCAATGGAGGCAGAAATGTTTCATGAGCTGGATGACTTAGTGATTGAGGCAAAAATATCTGATGAAGTTGCAGAGGTTTCCATAAAGACAGAAATATCTGATGATACAGCAGAGGCAGAAATAGAGACAGAAACATCTGTTGTCGCAGCAGAGACAGAAGTAGAGAAAGAAACATCTGATGTCACAGCAGAGAGAGAAGTAGAGACAGAAACATCTGTTGTCACAGGAGAGACAGAAATAGAGGCAGAGATATCTGTTGTCACAGCAGAGACAGAAGTAGAGACAGAAACATCTGTTGTCACAGCAGAGACAGAAATAGAGGCAGAAATATCTGATAGACCTGAAGAGGCATTGATAGAGACAGAAGCGTCTTATGAAGCAGTGGAAACAGCTATAGTGGCAGAAACATCTGATGAACCTGTGGAGACAGAAATAGAGATGGAAAAATCTAATGCACCTGAAGAGGCATTGATAGGGGAAGAAGAGGTAGAAACATTTGATGAACTTGTGGAAACAGCTTTAGAGACAGAAACATTTGATGAACTTGTTGACACAGCAATAGAGGCAGAAATGTTTGATGAACCAGTGGAAACAGCTTTAGAGGCAGAAACATCTGATGAGTCAGTGGAAACTGTGATAGAAATAGAAATATCTGATGACACAGCGGAGACAGAAATAGAAACGGAAACATCTGATGGACCTACAGAGGCATTGATAGAGGAAGAAACATTTGATAAACTCGCAATAGCGTCAGAAACAAATAAGGAAGCAATAATCAAGACAGAAACATCTAATGAACTAGTGTTCACAAAAATAGAGGCAAAAACATCTGAAGAACCTTCGATAGAGTCAGAAACAATTAAGGAAGCAATGATCGAGGCAGAAACATCTAATGAACTATTGGACGTAGCAACAGAGACGGAACCATTTGATGAAGCATTAGAAACCATGATAAGTGAAACATCTGTTGAACCAGTGGAGACAAAATCCACAGATTACCCAGGATCCCAAGGCGATTACCCAGGATCCTTAGTAAATTATCCGCTGGCGAGGACCAGACTGGAGGATGGACTAAAAACTGTATTATCTGAATCCCTGTTAGGATTAGAGGATGAGGGTAAGGATAAATCATTTCGACCTTTATTCTAGTTTGATACCTTGAATATTCATCAAAAAGGTCCAATGATTGAAATGTTCTTGGTTTAATTGTACACAAATTGAATAGAATGGAATGTGTGTGCACCATCAAAATATAATGGATCTTTTGAGCTTTTTATGCTGCTGTGATTATACTAATAAAAAACAGTGTAATTCTTTTGTTTAGAAACCTGATTGGCTAGACTAGCAATTTATGTATTGTGAGAAGGAAAATAAAATGCAACTGACCACAGCTACAGCCAATACGATTCTATAACAGTATGAATGTTTTATACCCATCATCCAGCCTCATCTAAGTCAGTCACAGACAGGCCCAGCCATGCTGACATCTTGTCCCCCTTGGAGGACAACTCCATTTTAAGAGATGATAAAGTTGGTGAGAACACTAATTCAGCCATTTTGTGGCAAGAGTTTGTTTGTTCTACTTGCATTTTAAATTCAGGATACTCAGCCTCAGTCTTAACCCTGAACATTTGTGAAAGTTTGAAGTAAAGATACTGTACTACAGCGAGGTCTTGAGCTGTTTACCTGTCTATTCAGAGGCTGCCTTTCTGCAGCTGTACTTTATTGATATTTTCCTTGATAATCCTTTTTTTGTGAATTTGCATTAAGAGCCAATTAATGTATTTTGCAAACAAGAAATATCCTGTGAGCAAGATCATTTGGGATATATTAATGATGCTCCTCCGTTTGTTCATTCGTCTGGCCATTCCCCCTAGATCTGTTTCTGCAAAAGAGCTCCTGTGGGCAAATCAGAATCAAACTTCAGACACTGTTTCTTTCCAAAAATGCTTTACTTTGGATTGCTTTTGAAGGGAGGTCAAAGGTCAAGGTCACTATATATAGCTAAAGGAAAATGATTTCTGCACAGTAACTTCAGTTACCATGGGTTGATCAAACTCACACTTCATACACTGCTTCCTTACCAAAAGGCTGTGTTTGGGGTTGCTTTTCAAGGCAAAAGGTCACAACTAACTGGCCTTACATAGACAATTGGTTTCTGTATTCCTAAGACCAGATAAAACACACAAATTTCATACACTGCTTACTTATCAAAAATTGCGTTTCAGGTCTGTAGGTCAAAGGTCAAAGCCACTGTCATAATGACTAGTGCATTCCAATTCTGTATCATTCATATATCGGTGTGAAAAATCAAGCTCTGAACTTCAACACTGACTAGGGGATTAGTATTGGTAAGGGATTTCCTGTCTCTTTTAATTTTCATAACATGAAATGTACACAAGAGAGAGAAATGGAAAGTCTTCATGAATGGAAACAGAAAGGTCAGTTAGCAAAATTAAGTACTCACAAACTAAAAGTAATCTACGTTAGTCATTTGGACTTGCCTATTTAAATTATCATAAATTTGAAATGGATGGTATGTTGATGACACTCGAATAACTTATAGCTAGAATTTTTTTATTGAAATTATTAAGGGAGAAAACCTCGTAGAGATTAGAAAGGGCCAAAGGAAACTTGTATGCACATTTAAAACGAAAATTGTAACATTTGAGAAAAAATCAACACAATATGTAGATTGGATAGCTCATTGAAATCGTTGAATAACTGGAAATCTGAGCATTGATGGCTATAGCGATTTGATTCGCTCTTGCAATTTTGACAAGTAGGTGAAGTAGTACAGGATGGATATTGTTGTTACTATGTTTGTTATAATATTAAACTGTACAATGAAAACTCCTGAACAAAGTGTATCCCCATTGTATTCATAGTACCTGAGGATTGTACCCTTTTGTTTTTAAGCTCCCATAGGGCTTTATTCCCCGTATCTATTTTTTTCTTTCTTTTTTCTGAGGAAGTGTTGAGAATGGCAAATGTATTTTCTCAAGTGGAGAAATAGGGGTATCCTTGTTTCTCAGAAACTGAACAACAAAATACAGAGTGACAAATTGTCTAGAGACTTTGCAGGCTATTATTCTTAATATAGAAATGCATTATACAATGAGGATAGTGTTTAAATTGGGAGTCTGCAGCCTTATAGTGTTTAAATTGGGAGTCTGCCTAAATTTTAGAATGGTTTGAACAAGCAGGAAAGTCCTTACTTGACCATAACATTGTCCAAGGAAACATGAATGTACCTGAGTTACGAGTATCCTGGATAGCTCCCTTCCCTCTATGGCACCAAGTGTTACCACTGTTTTACTAACACTGTTTCACATTTCATGTTATTACATATACTGGTAATAGAATAATACATTTAATGCTCTTACAGAAGAAAATAGAGATTTTATCAGAAAAATGGAAATATAATTTATTGGAATTTATTTTTATTGTGCAAAGGTTCTTAGATAAATTTAAAGATATGAAATACCTCTTTTGCTACTGCATGCTACTAATTTTGCTAACATATGATCTTGCTTTCAGATTGTTTTATTTCAGAGATTTTAACTATTCTGAATACTGTTAGTTTGTAGTCTGCAAGTAATATTCTACATGTAGTCCGACTGATCACAATATACATTTAAAAAAAAAATTAATTTAAAGTCGGGGCATTGTATTGTTTAAGTGTCTAGATCTGTAATGACAATTATACAGCGACAGATTTTCTGTTTTCCAGTTGTTTGTTTTATGAGTAACTTGATTGAAGTTTTGCAATAATATATAAGGATGTGTATTGCACAAGTTTTGGATTTCTTATTATTTATGTTATTAATTAGGAAACACCATTTATGGTTTTCTTTCTATAGCAATTATAGACAGGTGGTCTATATAGCAAGTGATCTCTATTTAAGACAGATGATCTTAACTAACGTTAAGTCAATATGCTCTTTTAAAGGATCATGCCATAATATTGTCCTAATCCTTGTGGCAATAATATCTAAAGTTGGTTTAAACAATATTTATTTCATATATCATATATAATAAGTACACAGGTTAATATAAATATAAATAGGATCAGGCAAGAAGATTTTAAATCTTATATAAAGCCATCTCCCTTGAAATGTAATTACATTAAAGAAGTACATGTACTACAACAGACATTTAATTCATACACATAAATTGTTTAAATTAACAGTTTGTGATAATACTGACCATTTTATGTGATGAACCAAAAATTTAAAAGGAAATACATTGGTAGGTATGATAGAAGAAAGGAGACAGTGATATAACTGTAAATCTAAAGTTCGAGGTCCTTGTGAAAATTGCTGCATTTTACTGGCAAGCATGATTCCGTTAATTATTGTAATACAAAGTAATTCATGAATTTCTGCTCAATCTAGATGGAACACAAACAGTGGCCAATGAATGTGGTGATGCGTCATCTATAGAAGCGACAGACGACCTTGGGAAGCTGACACACATTGTCCTTGCGGAAGGAGACCGAGTCCAGGTGACATCTTGCCACATCAACTCGCCAAGCTCTTTCTATGTCCACCTGGATAGAAACAAGGATGCCCTAGGCAGTCTGTGTGACGAAATGTTCAAATTCTATTCTGAATACGAAGGAGCAGATCTGAACGTAGAGTCTCCAAAAGAGGGCCAGTTGTGTGCCGTACAGTTCTCCGAGGACGAGTCCTGGTACAGGGCTAAATTATTGGAGGTATTAGGATCAGACAGGTTTAAAGTAGAGTTCCTGGACCATGGAAACACGGAGGAATGTTCTGGAGCTACGATTCGGAAGCTTATGATACGTTTTGTTGAACTGCCTGTACAAACCATGCACTGTACATTAGGTGGAGTGCGATCTGTAGATGGCCCCTGGAGTGAGGAAGCACTTACACTTTTTACTGAACTCCTGGGGGACAAGTACGTGTTTATAGATATTTTACCAGTTGAAGGGATGAGTACTCGTGCAATTTACATATTTCAATTATATTGCAATATATCATATTCAGTTGCTTTTCCTTTTTGTAAAAATCAAATCTCGTACTAGAAGTGTATAATTCTACGAATTGATGCTCTGGGCTCGTACACTATATGTGGCGAGTGAAATTTTCAAGATTTACTATAATATATGTCAGGCTTGAAGATGGGCCATATCTAGTACCAGGTATTCTCAAAATGAAAAAAAACATTTTAATGGAGTAGACATTTTCATCCCACTGTCTACATATGGATCTTTCAGTTAAATTAATCCTCTGGGTGTTGAAATACTGTATTCTGCATTGCTCAGTGATTGGTCTGTTGGGTTGCCTGTGAAATTTCTTTTTAAGCCGGAGAATTTTGGATACATATTTCAAATCTAATCTGTCAGATAATTGTCTAATGTGAATGATTTTGTTTATCAGGATTTGTTTTGTTAAAAATAACAAAAACTGTGTCAATTTTCCCTCCATTTGTTTCTAAATCACTGCTGTTGTTGGTTGTGTTTGTGTAGGAGCCTGTTGGCAGACATCATGTGTGTGAGCCCTGACGATGCTTACATTGTCCAGCTGTTGGACATGGGAATTCTACTTAGCCAGAAGTTCATTGACGAGGGATTTGGAGTGGAGGCATCCACACCAACCTACGTCAGTAAGAAAACAAAACGAGTGTTTTCCGACTGCAGTCCACCAAGGCCCCTAGACCTGAGTGGTGACATCTTACCAGACTCGGAGGAAGACAGGTGAGCTCATGTGGTCCTGTAACTTTTTCTGCAAACTTAAATAAATCTAATTAGTCAGGATAACTGTACCGTCAGATGTATCAAAATTGAATATTGTTTGAAGTTTAACCATTGATAAAAAAATAAATGATTCAGTATTTCTTAAAATATTAAGAATGAAAACCTGTAATATGTCTCTTCTAAAATACTATTTAAATATGCTATATACAGATTGATATTCTTCTATTAGTCTTGTCAGGGCCATGGATAGTTACATGGAGAGCATGTTCTCATTTTACAAACTATATAGTGTTGATGCTAACATAAAGTTACAAAGTTGTGCATATATATATATATATATATAAATAAAACAAAACACAAAGACTAGTATAATCTGCTAGCACTTTCGCCCATCTTGGGGCTCTTCAGGCGAAAGCGCTAGCCGATTATACTAGGCTTCGTGTTTTGTTTTATTTATATTTTTACCATCACATGGACATTTAAAACTATTTATCGCTATATATATATATTATGAAGAATCTCCTAGAAGAGATGAAAGTACTAAAGACTCGTTGAGAATTTTTCTTTTGATAATATATATATATATATACAGAGAATGTTTGTTTGTCACAAGTTATCTCCTCTTATTGGTCTGTAGAATAATTAATTTTGTTATAGCAGGTTGTTAAACAAGGTTTGTTTCTAACTAATGTAATACGTACTCTAAAATGTTCACCATTCAAAAACTTCAAGCATATATCATTTAAACAATGAAGTATATCATTTAAACAATGAAGTATATCGTTTTAACAATTTTTATATCATTTAAACAATGAAGTACATCATTTAAACCATGAAGTATCAGAAGTCGTGCTTTTCCAGTACCATATTAAGGAAATTCACTTCAATAATAATGTGTGCATTAATCTTCCTTAGGTATCCATCACTTGAACTGGTACTATCTGAGGACTATACCTGTTGTGTCAGCAACACGGTCTCCCCTGGAAAGTTCTGGTTGCAGCTGTCTGAAAAGCAGGACGATTTACAGACTTTCATGGACGGGATTCAAGAAAAATATAGTAACCAGGAGAAGCCACTGGCCACAGAGCAAGTGACATGTGGCACTCCCTGCGTGGCCCTGTACGGTGAAGATGGTCTCTGGTACAGAGCCACAGTGTTGGCTAAAAACAATAAGGACATAGAAGTCATGTTTGTGGACTACGGCAACTCAGAAACTGTGAACCTGTCTGAGCTCAGGGAAATTCAATCAAAGGACATGTCGTTACCACAACAGGCATTCTGCTGCTGTCTGAAAGGCATAGTGCCAGAGTCGGAGTCTGAAGGTTGGGAGAAGATCGCATGTAGCAGACTGGAAGAACTCACATTTGAAAAAGACTTGAAAGTGAGACTTTGTGAATCTTTGCCTAACCGTTGTTATATGGTTGAGATGAGTGACAGAGACGCTTGTATTGCTGATTCACTCGTACGAGGTGGCTACGCCAGGTTCTCTGAGGACAAGAGGCAGGTAACTCGGTGTGAAGAGGCTGTCAAAGCTGAACCGGTAGCAGTTTCAGCAGATCAGCTAGTGTTGGATGAATCTAAGGATGATGACGACTTCCATAGCGTTAAATCAGATACCGTAGACAAGGTAGACCTCGGACCCTTCCAACCCTCGAAGATAAAGGAAGATGAGAATTATACTGCTGTCATACTTAATGTCAAATCACCAGGGTGTTTTTATATACTTCTCGAGGAACAGGGTGAAGAAGACAGAGCAGAGCTTGTAACCAGCATCAAGAAATATGTGTCGGACCACACAGATGAGAATCTGTCATCAGAGGAGACTGTCAAGGGCACTGCATGTCTGGCACAGATGGCGGATGGATTTTATGGGCGTGCCGTCATAACAGGGACGCGCAACCAAAATGTGGAGGTGAGGCAAACTTTAGGGTTTTAGGTTGATCAGAAATATCCAAATAGTTTGATCATTTAATGTAAAAGTTATGACATGATGATTATAATGAAGACCTTGGAAACTGATACACCAGTGAAAACTCCAGGCATTGGCCTGGTCACTAATAAGTGTTATTTACAATCTCTTAAGGTAACCTTTTGTTAAAAAAAAGATTGGCTTCTTATTTATAGTCCCTGTCTTGTCTGTATTATCAGGTGTATCTGGTAGACTTGGGAGTTAGTGAGAGTGTGGACAGTGCCGTTCTGAAGCCCCTCCCCAGCAGTATGCTGGACCTACCTGCCCAGGCAATCCCCTGTAGTCTGGCTGACATTCAGCCCCTAGATGACACGGATTGGTCCGAGGACAGCATCAAAGGCTTTCAGTGTAAGTTTGGGGTACTGTATAGCAGGTAGATGAAGGAGATCTTATAATTTGGTGATTTGTTAAGTTCACTTCTTGATCACAAAAATTTAAATGCTGAAAATGAAATCGGTCAGGCCAGCATTTTGTCTATTATGAGTTCTGATCCTCACCAACACATATCAAAGATTGTTGTTTGCTGCTTGACAATGACAATGGCAATGAAAATGCAGACAGGCACGATAGCGATGCCTGTTGCTTTTTGACACTAACAGTAACAATGAACTACAATATCTATATTTACAAAAGACATATTGTCAAATTTTTTAAATCGTCTTAATAGAGTTTTTAGAGGCAAATTGTCAAATTTCCTACTACAATAAAAAATCTTCTATAGAGTAATGAAACTAATCTACAATTATATTCCATGGATTTAAAAAAAACCAAAAAACATTATATTTTTGACCTAAAAATTTGAAATATTGACCCCTGAATTTGACACTCTTTTGGTATAAATAGGACTTATCCTTCTGATCAAGGGATATGTTAGGCTAGGTACTGTTTAAGGTGTTGATGCCCTCTACTGCTATATTGCAGATATCCTATAAGGATATATAAAGAGTATTATGTATAGCTTTGTTGTGTTCTATAGCATTGTCGTCGGAGTGTGACCTGGTGTCCGTTTACGTTGACCCCCTTACAAAACAAGACGGCCCACTGTACAATGTCACTGTTAACGCCATAGGAGCCGTGTCACAGGAGATGTTCAACATGCAACTGGTAGAACTTGGTTTTGCCGATTTTGTTCCGGGATCCACTTTGGAGTCTGAGGCCATGATGGATGAGACAGGTACTGTTACATGATATTGGGGGTTGTTCTGCGTGTATGACATAAATATAATCAGGGGAAAAAATGATGACGTGTAATCAACCTCATTACTCTGGCAAATATTAATCTGGTTTTCCCAGTTTTAAGTCGGTGTTTAGTAGACAAACTTCCATAATGGTTTATGATTATATTTGATGCTTGATATTTGCACACAAATGAATGTGTTGGCAGCAAAAACCACTGAGGTTTTACACTAAAAATATCTAAAGAACTATTGGAACCAATGCCTAGAAAAACTGGGTTTATAAATCAGAATTGTTTTCTCAAACTAGATACCTAGGTACTGTAAACCTGATATTTTCATTTAGTTCTCATTTTCACCATTTTCTCAGTTGATAAAAAATATCATCTCTTTGAGATGTTGTATAGAAGCTAAAAATGTTACTTATGAAAACTGAGTAATTTGTTTTTACAATGACAAGGTTGACGATATACAATGTCTTATTATCCAGAAACCTCCTTCAACGAGCTGTCTTTGTTAAGAGAAAATTCCATTGGTAGTGAGGATGAAACCACAGGTAGGTCCCTTTAAAAAAAGATTAGACATTCCTTTTAATGTCATGTGTCTAAAGAAAATCGTGAAAGTGTTATATATGTATAGTATAATAATGTCACTTTGCACACATATTGAAGAAATGATAACCGGTTTGACGGGTAATGTGCTTTTTATACCCAGCGGGACCCATACTCGTTACCAAGTAAGGACAAACTAAAATGTCGGCACTTCTTTAGAAACAATAGTCAGAAGAGATGCGGAAGATCTCAAAACCAGAAAAAAACTTTTTTTTTTAATCTCAATTGAAAGCTTTTTAAGTTGCACTGTCAGCTTTAAGTGAACTGTAATATTAACAGAAACATGTCTGTGGAAGCATACCATTTTCAGTATGAAGCTATTCATGTACATTTACACAACTTAAAAGGAGTCAGATCAGATACTACTTAAAAATGCCCCTTGTCAAAATTACAAATATAGGTCTTTGAAGAGCCTTCGGTTTACCCCAGGTCATAATGTGAAAATGGCAACTTGAAGCCAGAAGAAGAAAATTCATTGTTGTTCTCAAAGATTTAACCCTTAGGCTGCTACGCACGACAATAGTCGTTTTTAAAAGTCGGGCCCTCACTGCTACGCACGGCAATGGTCGTTTTTCGGTCTGTAGGTTTTGATCGGTAGCCAGGAAGTGTGAAGTCGGGTTGTTGCTATACCAAACCCGAACGCGTATAGTAGAAGGCTTCTGATTGGTTGTTTTGTCATTACTTTCGATATTCACGGCAGTGTACCCTAGTAACAACCAAAGGTGTGCGAGAGAATTTCAAATCGAAAAAAAAGTGATAAAAATGGCGGACGTGTAGATTGAAGCGATGCATATGATGGTAAACATTTATTCTCCATCGTCACCTACGATGATAATAAAGGTTTTGAAGGGTTTGGCATGGTTGATGTGGAAATACTTGGGTGTTACCTAATATGTAACTTTCCAGTGAACGGCTTTGTGCTCTACGCAAACAGGAAAATATCGGCGGACCGAGGCGCACATGTCGTCTGCAGGTGAGGCCGAATTGAACATTGACATTGATACGTTTTGAGCCGATTTATTTCTTCAAACTTTTTATCGGTGATTTAATCATAAACTAGACCGTAGCTATTATATATCTATATGCCGAGTGTGACAGTAAATTTATTGAATTGCGACCTGAAACCTGTAGAAAATCACATGCAATTCTTGACGAAATACCTGACCTCTTTTTACCTGAGAATCTCCGTGTAAATATACAGCGTCTTATGTCAAAAATGAAGTTTATAATCTCTGTTATCATTTGCCAATCACATTTACGGACGAAAATAATTTTAAAATGATCTTTCTTTTGCTTAAATCTGATTATTTAAAAGTTTCACATTTTCTTACCTTTATTACCACCTGTACAGGTAAATACTGAAGCAACTTTAGAATTGAAAACGTTAATATAAACTAGAGACAACAACGAACAATTTTCATATAACTTTTTTTCACATATAACAAATATTTTCCAAGTTATGCACATTTGAAAAATCAAGTAAATTAAAATAAATTTCAATAATTAATTCAGCAGTGGTGTCCGTTTACATAGAAATCAATGTAGCAGCCTAAGGGTTAAGATGTGGAAGCAATTTTTATACTTTAAATGTTTAGGAACTGAAAATTGAACAAGCTAATAAAATGCAAAATATCAAAAAACGACATTACATTAAGTGGATTAGTAAACAGAACTTTAAGTCATTGTCTGTTTCTACCGCAAAAGTGGAAATTACATTTCCTAAAACAACCGGAGTTTTAGGAGCGGCTCATCACAAGTTGCTTGGTGTAGGAATGTTTTATAAGACATAATCATGTCTCTTTTAGATCACAATGTCAACATTTAATTCAAAGCAATTAAAATGCTCTGTCTTTATATCATTTGTAGTTTAAAGCAGATATTTTCATCTCTGGAATTTGTGTTTGTTACATATTTTATATTAGCTTTAATATTTTCTCGGTAGTGTCATATTTACTGTTTGTCTGCGGACAGTATTGGCCCCTATAATTATGTCATTGAATTAATATTTTATTGACCTTGCCAGTTACAACTGACTTCAGTTCACCTGATATCAAACATTTATGTTTATTTATCACATAAGGTTCTGCGTTATCCAGTCAATATACCCATGTCTTATTTTTTGGGTATTAACTCATGTAATATGACCTATCAGCCCTGTGATTAGTTGAAAATTTCAATTGTTTGAATCGGACGTCATGCATAGGACAAGTACATCATAGACTTCCGCATGGTAGCTTATTACATTTCAAGATTGTATGAAGATTGTCGTTTTACACGAATAAATGACACAAATTTTGATTGTGTAAAATAACGCTAAATTGAAAAACTCTTAAACTCGTTTCATAAATCTCATATGAAATGGAAACTCATGTAAGATCCTATATATAATAATTAAATGTTATCTAAATGAAGTATTCCTATGTTGATTAGATGTTGACACTTCGAGGATGACGATAGAGGAATCGGTGCTGGAAACAACTGGTGCCTCCGACAGTTTCTCCTTCTTGTCTGGCAAACAGCTCGATAAACTGAAAGGTAAGTTACACTGTATACAGTTGTTTCATGCCTTATCAGTCAACAGTCAAAACTATTTTCCCGAGGAGTTGGTACCCTCCAGATGAACTGTTTCCCGAGGCCGCTGACTGATAAGGCATGAAACAACTGTTTTGTTACTTAACAATGAAAAACCAGAAAGTTCTATGTCGAATGTGATGTTTAGGTCTACCGACAGACGACCGTCAACAATCCAGTACCAAAAACGCTTGATCATCGGGGTGCTTGTAATTATAGGTGCGTTCGATTACCTAACATGTGACCAGTCAACAGTTTCACGTGACCAGTCAACAGTTTTTAGCTCACCGGGTCCGAAGGACCAAGGTGAGCTTATGCCATACCGTGGCGTCCGTCGTCCGTCCGTCCGTCCGTCCGTCCGTCCGTCCGTCCGTCCGTCCGTCCGTCAACAATTTCTTTAAACGACTTCTTCTTAACCACTGATTGGAATTTAACTAAATTTGACTGGAAACATCCCTAGGTGGTGGGGATTCAAAATTGTACAGATGGTGGGGCTGACCCCCCAGGGGGCTGAGGGGCGGGGCAAAAAGGGGGCAATTTGGCTATATTGCTTTAAGCGACTTTTTCTCTGGAACTAAGAAATGGATATCAACCATATTTGACTGGAAGCATCCCTAGATGGTGGAGATTCAAAATTGTACAAATGGTGGGTCTGACCCCCCAGGGGGCTGAGGGGCGCGGCCAAAAAGGGGGTAATTTGGCTATATTTCTACAAACGATTTCTGCTGTAGAACTATGCACTGGATATCAATCATATTTAATCAAAAGCATTCATGGGATGCAGGGATTCAAAATTGTACAAATGGTTGGGCTGACCCCCCAGGGGGCTGAGGGGCGGGGCCAAAAAGGATTATTTGGTTATATTGCTTTAAGCAACTTCTTCTCTGGAACTAAGTGATTGATATCAATCATATTAGACTGGAAGCATCCCTAGGTGGTGGGGATTCAAAATTGTACAAACGGTGGGGCTGACCCCCCAGGGGGCTGAGGGAGGGGCCAAAAGGGGGCAATTTGGCTACATTGCTATAAATTGTCTGGGAAACAGTCGAAATTGATTAATATGCATTTATATAGCAAGTCAGGTAACAATATACTCTGTGTCGGACATGGATTGAGTTGGGGGACGTAACAGTTCACAAGATCTCCGTGTCGGACATGGATTGAGTTGGGGTTCGCAAAAGGGGGCAATTTGGCTACATTGCTATAAATTGTCTGGGAAACAGTCGAAATAGATTAATATGCATTTATATAGCAAGTCAGGTAACAATATACTCTGTGTCGGACATGGATTGAGTTGGGGTTCGTAACAGTTCACAAGATCTCCGTGTCAGACATGGATTGAGTTGGGGTACGTAACAGTTCACAAGGGGTGGGGCCAAAAAAAAGTTTATTGCTTGGAAATGGTGGAGATCCCCACCATATAACCACATATACAATTGCTGAGTATAAAGAGAAGAATGCACATTTGCTTCCAGGATGGCCCTGGGGTCTGGCCCCACCCTTGGAAACATAGTCCTTGGGCCATAACTTTAAAATTGTTGAGATCCCCACCCCAAACCTATATATACAAAAGCTGGGCATAAAGAGACGAATGCAGTCACGATGTTAGAATAGACCCTGGGGTCTGACCGAACCCCTAGGGACCTAGTTTCTAAGTCACAGCTTTGAAACAGTTGAGATCCCCACCCTATAAAGAGATGAATGCACATATGCTACCAGGATGGCCTTGGGGACTGCCCCACCCTTGGAGACTTAACCCCTGGGTCATAACTTTGAAATGGTTGAGATCCCCACCCAAAACTATATATACAAAGGCTGGGCAAAAAGGGACAAGTGCAGTTACGATATTAGATTTGATCCTAGGGTCTGGCCA